ACGCACACCTGAAAAGAAATTGAATCACAAACAACAATCGAAAATCAGGAATTCAAAATATCAAAGTATTTAAATGCCTTAGTTGTTTCGTTTTCTGGAGAACGTCTGCATTTCCCCTTACTACTGAATATCATTACCGTTACCCGTCAACTTTGGATGTTCACTTTAGAATTACGTTTTGAGGTGCAGCCGTGACTGATTCTGGTCAGCTTGATTCTATGAACGAATAATGCAAATGAGAGAGGCTCACTTCTTCAGGTTTGAATCGTCTCACGTCGAATTCTAGCATGAACTTCTTGACGCCGTTCTCCTCAACAATTGGATTCTGAATACGATAGAATTCAGCTAACACCGGATGGTCGCGCATTCTCCTTGGACAAAACTCGCCTGCCCAACCACGGGACATTGCTGAAAAGGATCACAAAATTCGCTGATTGCTCTTGAAATCACGAAACAGAAACCATACAGCATCCTATTGCAACCGTTCTGGCGCAATTTATCGTAATCTCATATTTGTGGACAGTTAAACAGAAGAACCAAGAGCACTTGATAATAGTAGCAGTGATACGAAAAGAACTCACGAAATGCCTGATCGAAGTAGTCCTCCACTTCACGAATCTGACGTTCGAGATTTCTGAATGGATTCGACGATCTGAACGATGGAAACCATGGCAGATGGGAGAACTGACGATTCATTAATGACTTGCATGATGCATTCTTGGCCATACAACGACCACACTGTGCGCCACGAAGCAGAGCTTGACGGAGCATTCTGTCGTCTTAACAAACGAAATGCGAAGTAACAACGATATTGAGAGAGTCCTGAAACGCAACAGAAACTGAACTTCAACGAGATTTTCCAATAGTTTCGTTTTCCGAACATTCTAGCACGCCACTGGCACAGTATATTTATTCTGACACTTACATTCTCGTTCTCTAATAAGTGATTGTAAGCATGAAGGCTTTAGATAGCTTGTTTTCAGAGTTATTATTATCACATAGAGAATACTTTTTTTTTTGGAAAATCGATGAGACGATTCGGAGGCATATCTGATGCCGTCACATTCATAAAGCGGAGCCAGCCGCTCAAACGTTTCCGATTATCGAATCAATAATAATAATAATAATAAGTACATCACTACAAGCACAATAACAACGAAAATCACAAATAAATAGTATCACTGCAAACGAAAATGATGATAACAATACGAACTCATCGAAGCTATCTTCAAAACAACTTCAGAAATCTTTCACCAATCAAACGGCCATCTAAATCCCGATTACAATTGCACTGAATACAACCAAACGCTTGCTCGTATTTATATGTTGAGAATGTGTTGCGAAAGTAATGCAGACACTGACGTCACAAGTGCATTTGATGGGTT